ATAACTTTGTTTCCTCATAACTTTCTCCTCATTAGCTTTTGTGCCAAAAAGAGAACACTCGGGTTAAAGGGAGCTATAAGGATTTTGTTCGATTTAAAATTTTTCCTATTCGCTATAGCGATAGCAAAAGTGAAGGAGTAGAAGAAAAAAAGAATCCGATCTAGTTTTAATAAGTTTGCTGTAATCTAAGCATCTATAGGAGGGTTACTGTACTTTACCGTTACTTTTGAATAATGGAGTGATTTTGCAACAAACAGTATTCGGCCCAATTTTGTTGCACATTGGATTATTCAAGAGCGCTTTTAGGATTTTTTGCTGGAAATGTTGTGAGTCGGCTTTCTTTTTTTTTTTTTCTTGGTTAAAAAAGTGTCAAAATCCACTGTGGTGCTAGAGGTTTTGGCGATTAGAGAAGCAGGTCCACAATTCCTACCACCTAAGTATTTCATCGTTAGCGGCTAAAAACAGTTTCCACCCACGTGATCATTTTGAAAATTTTTTTGTGGATATCGGACAGTTACTCTGAAGTGCAAAGTTCTAGCGTAATAAACAATCGGTTTACAGTTATTCGGGGTTTATCGGTAAATTTTATCTTTAATTTTTTTTATTTTTATTTTTATTTTTTGCTTTTTTTTGTATACTCGGCAGGAAAAAAACAATTTCAACGATTGACATCTTGAAGAAATAGAAGCCAAATTTGAGAAGATGAAGATTGAATGATGACAAAACAATAAAACAGAACTTTACTAAGGACTGGTACTTTACTTGAAACGGTCAAAAACATGTTTCTTTGTCTTTTGTCTTCTATCACTAATATCCCCTCCTTATTCTCTTTCTCCTCCCGAGTCTCCCGCCCCCAAATTCTTTTTGCCTTGCATCTTCTCAGTATCATAAGAAAAAACAGAAATGTACTTTTCATATATAAATTGTGAATTTGTAGACCAGAAAATAGAAAAGATGAAAACTTTTAAAACAATAATACAAAAACGACAAAATTTCTTATCGCTTTAATTTATCTTTATTATTGCTCATTTTTCTTCATTCTGTACTTTTTCAAAGGAAATAGAAATAAGCTGAAAACAATTGATTCACTTGTTTCCATTTTCGGTTACAAGTTTTATTTTTACGACGTCAAAAAACAATGATTTACGTACGTGTTTGTACTAGGAGAAAGGAAGAAAACTGAAAGAAACCTTTTTTCCTTCTCAACAGAACAAACAAAAACAGAGCTATCAATACAGAACAAATTTTCTGGTATGCGAGCAAAAATTTTTGCTTGTGTGCCAGGAGAAGAAAAAATAAAAAAATTTGTTGCCAAAGAACGATATGGATGTCTTTGTAATTAATTTAATTGCTCATTTTTGGTTGGTATCGATATTTGGCGCAAATAAATAATCATTTATCCTAAGCTGTTATTGTTGTTGTTTTTGTTGTTCAGATATTTAATCATTAGTGCTATACTTTAGAACCTGGCTACTTGTCGGAACAACGGCGTCAGTAGATTGGTCATGAAATTGAAATCCCAGAATTTCTCTGG